CAATTCCTTGCTACAATTAATCGACTAGATTAAATTTATAACATGGATATTGATGTGGGAATGTTAAAGCAAACTGGGGAAGTATTGGGTTATGAGGGGCCTGCCCTAACAAAATTTATTCAGGAAGAGAGAAGTAGATTAATCATTGAATTTAAAGAGAATCAACAACATGCTAGGGAGGCACGAAAAGCAGAGAGGGAAGAGGCAAAGGCAAAGACACAAAGAGAGGCAGAGGAACGGTCTGAAAAAAGAAAGTTTGAAGAAAAAGAGAGGGAAAAGCAATTTGAATTAGAAAGAATAAAAACAGAAATAACCGTGAGAGCAGAGGGAACTGGTGGCCAATCACAGGATTCATATATGATGGGTGCTAAACTTCCTAAACTGTCCGAAATTTCAGGGAGAGGCAACAAGTCCAAATTTGTGGTGAGCAAAGGTCTCATCTACAGGTTGTATTAATCACCTAAGTTAGGTCAGGGAAGTCGTGTTAAACAACTTGTAGTGCCTACAAAATTTCGCAACGAAGTAATGAGATTGGGGCATGATTGTTTATTATCTGGTCATCTTGGGACCCAGAAAACAGTTGACAAGATCTTAACACAATTCTATTGGCCTGCAATGCATGGCGACATCCAAAGATATTGTCAGTCTTGTGATGTATGTCAGCGTACGTTTCCTAAAGGGAAGGTTGGTAAAGTACCCTTGAGGATAACGCCTCTTATAGACGTACCTTTCAAACGGATTGCGGTTGATTTGGTCGGGCCTATTGATCCCGTAACAGATAAGGGTAATAGATATATTGTGACATATGGGTTAACTACCATGACCGTCTTTCCAATCTTGTTTTTCCTCTTTCGACAGTGAATGTATTAATGGCTATCAGTTGATCACACACCGAGAGATGGCGCACTTTTGCAATATCAAGAATGTGATGCTAGTTTCATAGCGCCATCTAGTGGCTTAGTTGGCGAGTAACAAAAATAAATCCTAGAATGGCCTATGTTATGTTTCAATTAAAAGCCTCTGATGGCCACCAAATTTATTTTGTTTTCCTCGTAAGAACCTTCGGCCATACATACAAAATATTAAGTTGATCAGATAAAGCACTCAGAAGAAACAAATGCCCCAATTTTTTAGGTACTTTTGTCGAAAATTAAATATGGCGGCGAAATCATTATTTAATAATTGTTTTACTGTCTGAATGAGTTGAGAGATGCAAAATGGCAATGTCGATGAAATGTTATAACAGAGACATCAGTGAAGAACTACTTCATGTTCGGAAGAAATCCAATATTGTGACCAAAGCACGTAATCACTCACTCCCCTCCCCAATTCTCCAACTTTAATGCGCTATACATATAGTTGCTAAAACAACTTTTACGTCAATATATGGCTCTGGAATAGGACATAACACGAGCAAAATACGCTACACTGCACTGTACTGCACTGCACTGCACTGCACTGCACTGCACTGCACTGCACTGCACTACACTACACTAAGTGAACACGCCATATTTCAAAAACACTGAGCTAATTGTGTTACATGCAAGTACGTTGCCGAGGTGACTGACTACCTTTCGCAGTACAGAGGTGATACAAATACAACTCAATCGGGCGAACAGTGAGTGTCGATTAATGGTCACGCGAAATCAAATTTTGTTTAGCTGTTATTGAAACAAAAATTGCTTTGTAACTCGAAGTTCGGTTAACTGTTAAATAAAGTTCGAGTACTAAATGTGGACGTTCAACAAAAACAAAAATATATGTTGCCCGTAACTCGAAGTTCTGCTAACTATTAATCCAACATCGAGTTACAATTTGGGCGCCGTTTCTGAAATATGGGCGTGGTCATTTTGTAACTCGATGTTTTCGTAACTCGATGTCCGTAACTCGAACAATTCAACATCTCACCCACTACATTGTGCAGTGTATCTTATGAACTTATCTTTCCAAAATAAGAAATACTATTATTCAGTTACAATTTCCTTGTAAGAAGAAAACTATATTTATTGTAATTCTAAAACGATAGCTTAAAACAAAACAAATGTTTCGATACATTCAAATAATCTATTTCAGTGTAGTTGGGATGTTGTGCAGTGGAAATAGCCTTTGGTTCAAGCAATGCTTGTCATTTACATATCTGTAGTGTTATAAAAACGTTATACATTTGAAGAAAAAGTATAAACATTTGCAAATATACTAAAACAGAAAATACAGAGGTTTTACACGTTTACTAGTTAATATAAATCGGTATTAATGATTCAATATGAACACTGTAGACTAGTGTCTTCTTCGAATAGTTGTATGTACAAACATACAATAAACAACTCTTCCGTGCAGGCCTACCATCGTGGACTATTCCGGCAAATACAACGACTTGTACCTCGCTTTGAAACTTTACACGGTCCACCGATTAATTCTCTGCAGTCCATGCCTGAATTGCAGCACTGCTTAGCGCCTGCTTTTGGGTCACACCTGAAGTAGGCTGGTACACACTAATAAAAATAAGAACTTGAATTAAGTAATCGTCGGGTAAGGAGGGGGTGGCTTTAAACAATATTCTTAATTTAGCGCATTTTTTTATCTTTGTTTGCAGAGATATTAATATTATTATATTCAATATTATTAAAACATTATATACATTACACTAAATAACGGTACATGTTAAAATTATGATAATATGCGTACTGAAACCGATTATGCGTAACGTCTACTTACACCACGTTTGTCATAGCTGTCGAGTTCATCTCCCAAGTCCATAATATCCGCCGCTAATGCAGCATTTCCATGTGACGTCATCTGCAGGAGAACCAGGAAGACGAAGCCGCACACAAAACAAATGACTGCGTTCTTTTCCATACTAAATAACAGTTATTCTGACAAACAAATAAACAAAGAATTTTCAGTGAACAAATAACAATGTTTCTAAGTGGTTATACAGAACATATGTAAGCATGGGAGAAGAAAGGAACAATGTAAACAAAACGCAAATTCCAAGTATGAAATGATTACGCGCGTAAGCGTCCTCTAATATTAAAACAAAATAAAATATGGCTGCCCCCAGAGTTTGATTGGACTCCACACATAGAAGTTCGCTAAATCTGTTCTAAACGTTTTGGATTTGGACATTTCCATGATATGTATCGCTGGGAAGAAAAGATGTATAATAATAATAAGATTTATTACTAGGATACTGCAAAGTATGCACTCAGACAGTACGCGGTAGCATCGACCTCCGTTGCGCGTCGGTCGCCGTTCTGTATTCGTGCATACTTTGCAGTATCCGCGTAATAACCTCATATGATATTTGATATAGCTAAGCTTGTAATACCACTAACTACACTGCAATATGATATATCATAGTAATTTAATTATGTACGGTGCGGTGACTAAAGCTCACATCATTCCCTTGGGTGCCAGGTATTGATATATCTAGTCTGTAACAAATCTACTACTTTTACAATATATGTCATTTCATAAGCATCCTTTTACCAAACTTTCATTTTCTAGACAACTGAATACAAAATCGTGTTGCTACCCGAACATATCCTTTGAAGCACAAGAATGAGCGATGCAAGCTCGGATTTTAAGCGTCCTTTGATTAAGATAACTTTGATTTTTTTTAAAACTGTACATTTATTGTGAATATATCCCTATATCTAATTTAAATTTGCATGATTACACGCATTTTGCTTGAGTGATATGTATATAATAATACTATGTTAGCTACAGCTATATTAACATAATATATGGCTACTCAGAAATAATAAGAATCATTACGATAATTGGAAAAATACTTCTGTTTAGTTAATTCGACTGATGGTAGAATTTAACATACTTTCGAGAAGGTGCATCTCATCATTAAGTCCTCTTTATTCGTTGTAAAAACATTACTAGTTATTGATTTGTAGAACAAGCCACCACGGCAGTATTTACGGCAGATAAGGCGACGTTACGAGACAGCAATAGTAACAATAACTCAACTACTTATCTTGTATTTTACCACTTTACTTTATGTAATTACATGCCCAGCCTGGGCTTAAAACGCGAGGTTTTCGATATGCTCTCAAGTCTCGAAGAATCGCATTACAGAATGGAGGTGTACATTGGTTATTTTTTTTAAATAATAATATAATACTAAGTACATGTGAATTTTCATTGTTTTGGTTTCGTAAACACATTCATTGACTCATTTGCATCTAGGAATCTAAATCTCGTATCTGAGTGTTAACTGACCTAATTATGCGAATAGCAAGGCAAAGCGCTCTGCGTTGTTCATAAATTCGAATATCGTGATGTCTGTCTCAACTGTAGAATATCTTTTATTTTATAACCAGTGCGAATAATACACGCGGCCAGGATAAGGTTGTCTCGCACAAACACATATTCACGGAATGGCCGCTAGTCACCTATTTTTTGTTCGAATCTAAAAATGGATTACACGTACACAGAAACCCAATATGCATAATCAGGATACAACGTTTGAATGAATCGCCCTGTCATCTCCGGAAAGTGGTCCCGGACACGGTTTAGTATCAGAATTAGCAATTATCAGGATTAAAATGGCCGCCAGTCAGCCATATTTCACCAAGAAAAAGCTTCGAACGCTCGTACGCAAGGACGCACGGACGGACAGACTTACAGAAGCATAAATTATTAGTAACCGAATAGAAATAGAAGCAATTCCAACTTTATAGATAACGTGTTCGCATTTTATCTTCACATAGCTATCTGACCTATTAAAACCATATGTATCATATGACATGTCTTTTAAATATTTCCATTATAGTGTAATTGCGGATGCATGTCCCTATTAGGACGTAATAGCATGGGCGACAATTGTTTAATGTACAACGTGGTTTTCACGCTTCGTGAATCAGAAAAATTAGCCCTGAACCTATAGTTATTCCCATGAGCATTTGTCAAAAGCTTAATTTAGACATTAACGTTTCCAGCTATCTCGTATATTCACTTCATGAACTAATTCTATTAGGGCGAATGTTACATGTAAATTCTGTTTGTTGAGCAAATTAAATGTGAATGATCTGTCCTTTTTTTATATTTTCGCATGTTTTTATTCCATAATAGCGTCAGAATTTTGTAAAGAAAGTTTTACCAAGCAGCTTTGAAAAGTAATAAACCTAAAACAATTTCTTAAGAGCAGCAATCGTCAAGGGACTCACTCAAATAGAACATAATGTAAGATTCAACACGTGATTTCCTCGAAAAATATATTTCTAGACGAATTTGAGTAATAGACTCAAATCACATTCAACAATGAATCACTTTATTTAAATTTTTAGGTAACATTATTTTGTGTATTGCGTGGGCAAGCACTCTGTTGCACTCAGGACAAAACCTATGTCGCCAGATGAGGGCTTATATGCTTTGAATAATTAATTAAAACTTAGCATCGTGTTCATTTCTAATAAACAAGGAGTTATGTATCATGGCATGGA